GCAAGGTTTCCGCGCCGGCGAGTGGCGAATGCCCAGGGATGTTTTGCGACCACAACTAAGGATCGCGGGGACATTACGACGGCGGCAAGACGGCCAGCACGTCGACGGAGGAGAATCTGTGCAGGTGAATTGAAGGAGGAAGCGTGGCACGTGATCGTTTCGGTTGTTGCCGCCGTGCAGACGCCGTGCAAGAACGGTGTTTTTTCCAATTCCCAGATTCTTTGCCTTTTATCGATGGTTTCAACATTGTTGTTACGGGCAAGGTTGATCGAGACGGTGAGAGAAGTTCACACGGATGGAAATGGGCAAGGCAGAATGCGCGTTGATTAGACAGGGAACTACGAGGTAGACAGGCTGACTATATACTGAGAGGAGACAAGAGAACATACAAGAGGAAGACATGCATAAGAAGATGAATGAAAGAAAGGAAGGTGACAAGTAAACACGGTGTGCAAGAAAGCACAAAGAGGGAAGGACTGCGAGAGACAGTCAAGAAGGGGATGAAGGGGGAACTAAGTAATGTAGACAAGACGCGACGCGTTGAATGTGTCGCATAGGAATGGGACGTGTCCGTGACCGTGACATTATCTCCCTTTTTACGAGGAGACATTGGGGGAGTGGCGAGGGTGAGGACGAGAAACGCGACCGGAAGCCAAGGTTGTAGAGGAAGGGGGAACGTAAATGGAACGTAAATTGGAACGGGTTAATGGAGGAGACTTTGGACGTTTGTGGGCGGAAGAATCGGGAATGGATAAGGGGGACAAAACAGAGTCGGAGTCGGAAGGGAGGTCGAAGTTGAAGTCAGAAGTCGAGAGGGCCAGTTGGTTGAGAACAAGAGAATGGGGACGAGGGGCGCGAGGATTGCAACGGTGGAAACGTTCGAGGAGTTCATTTGCTGAAGTGGGAAGTTCATGAAGGGGAACCCAGGAGTTGTCGTCCGTGGAAAGGTCCTTCCATCGGACCAGGTAGTCATAGCGATGACCTGTCTTGCGGCAATCGAGGACGTCGGAAATTTCGGAGATTGTCTCGATGGGGTTTTCAGCGAGTTGAAAGGGTTCTGGCTCAGCGTGAGCGTGGAATTCGGAAGGGTCGGAGTAAGGCTCGAGGAGTGAAGTGTGAAACACGGGATGGAGACGTGAGAGGTAAGAGGGAAGTTGGAGGAGATAAGCGTCGTTGCCAATGGCGCGGACGACGGGGAAGGGACCAAGGCGGCGGTGATCAAGCTTGAGTGAGGGTCGAGTGGTGCGGATATTGCGACGGAGTAACCAAACCAGTTGATCTGGTAGATAGACAGGGGAAGGGAGGACTTTCTTGTTGAATAATTTGCGTTGGCGTTCCTGAGCAAGCTCGAGTTCTGCTTTGAGTTCCGAGTGAATGCGGTCAAGCCGCTGAGCAAGTTCGTCAGCGGCGGGAACAGTAGATATGTCGGCAAGTTGAGGGGTAAATGTTGGGTGAAAGCCGACATTGGCAAGGAAAGGGGTTTGCTTGGTAGAGGCATTCTCAGCACTGTTAAAAACGAACTCAGAGAGCGGTAAATAGTCCACCCAATCGTCTTGTTGATAAGAGCAATAGGCGCGTATATATGTTTCCAGTGTTTGGTTGGTGCGTTCCGTGAGTCCATCAGTGCGAGGGTGATAAGCGGTCGAATGTCGAAGATCAATGGAAAGGTGGGTGGTAAGAGATTTCCAAAAGTTGGAAACGAAGAGGGAGCCTCGATCGGAGATGATAGAATCGGGGAGGCCGTGATAGCGGAAAATTCGGTCGATAAAGAGCCAGGCAAGTTCAGAAGCGGACATGCTTTCGTTGCAAGGGATAAAGTGGGCTGCACGAGTGAGGCGGTCGCAAACGACTAGGATAGAATCGTAGCCATGGGAGATGGGGAGTTTGACGATGAAGTCCATGGAAATTGATTTCCAAGGACGGCTGGGGATGTCGAGGGGCTTGAGGAGTCCATAGGGCTTGTGACGAGGGATCTTCGTGCGGTTGCAAGTATCACAAGCTGCGACGTAGCGGCGGACAAAGGTGTAGAGGCCGGGCCAGGAGTAGCTGCGAAGGATTTTGTTGAGGGTGATGGTGCGTCCTGGATGACCTCCAAGGACCGCATCATGGTGTTGATGCAAGATATCGAGGCGAAGGGGGGGAGGAACATAGACGCGGCCGTTATGAAAGACGATGTCGTTGGTGGTGGTGAAGCTGTTGTCTCCATGAAGGAGGGATTCGCGCCATGTGGTGTCTTCTTGATAAGCAAGCCGAAAACGGTCGAGAAGCTCAGAATTGTCGATGGTGAGTGAGGAAGTGGCGGCAACGTGGATGGGGGAAGGAGGAGTGTCAGAGGGGAAAATGTTTTGGGTGTGGTAGGGTGAAAGAATTGCTTGATTTTGTTGTAAGAGGATGTCATCTCCCTTTTTAGGCATAAAATCGGGACGACGTGAGGGACCGTCAGCAGGGTTTTGGGAGCCGGGTGCCCAGGAGAGTGTGAAGTCGAAGTCGGAGAGGAACATCGCCCAACGGGCTTGTCGACGGTTGAGCGTGCGAGACGTCATGAAATACTCAAGGTTCTTGTGGTCGCAAACGACTGAGACCGTTTGTGCAGTACCCATTAACCACGCACGCATGTCGCGGAAAGACTCAATGATCGCGAGTAATTCCTTATCATGGATGTCGTAGTTGATTTCAGCAGGGGAGAACTTGCGTGAGAAGTAAGCGACTGGGCGCAGAGAGCCGGAAGAGTCGGGTTGCTGGAGGATACCAGACAGTGCGAAGTCGGAGGCATCAGTGGAGAGAGTGGCAGGCTGGGAGGGGTCGTAATGGCGGAGGACGGGGTAAGAAAGGAAGGTATTCTTGAGGTTTTCGAAAGCNGGAATTGGCCTCAGGGGACCAAACAAAGGGGGTGTTTTGTGAGTGAGGCGGTG